GATTCCATAACCCTCAGCATTACTTAACTGAAGTGCTCGAGCATTACATTACAGTAGGAGAAACAGAAAGAGCAGAAAGAATCTTATTGATCCCCTAATAAAGAGCCGTGGTGCCTCTGCCAAAGTTGCCATACACTGTTGGAACAGGAAATAAAATGAAAAGCGAAGCTCCCTTTTGAGTTACTTTGACCGACAGACTTCGTCTTGGTCTCCTTTCTCCTTTTGTCATAAATCAAATATTTTCGATGGTTTTGCTCCCTAGGACCCACGAGAGACTCTAACCAACAAAAGAACGTCTGTAAAGCAATAGGTTCCGTGCCAACTACGATGGATCAAACCCAATTACTTCGCAGACGTTCTTTTGTGGGTTCGAGTCTCTCGTCCAAAGACCCCCTCATTTCAACCCAGAGCTACAAATATTCTCCTTGAAAAGCTACCAAGTCAGGCCATTGGATCCCTGTTGCCAAGTGCAGCTTACACTGACTTGCAACATCTTTCCAGGGTTTGAAATAAGTGCTGGGCCAGTGATGGCGAACCTTTTAGAGACCGAGTGCCCAAACTGCAACCCAAAACCCACTTATGTATCGTCGGGTGCCGTGCCGCGTGGGCATGGTCCATTGGGTGGGTGTGGCCCATTGGGTGGGCGTGGCTGCGATGGTAACGGCAGACTGGGTGGGACTAAAAAGTTCAATCAATCAATTCCAACTTTGCGAGATCTTTTTTTTCTCCGCAAGAAATTGAAATTGATTGATTGATTGAACCTTTTTTTTTTTTGCATACGGCGGCGGAGGCTAAAGCGAAAAGGTTTTATAAAACCCAGCTGAAGGCCTAGGACTGGGGTGACAGCACACGTGCCCACAGAGAGGGCTCTGCATGCCACCTGTGGCACAAGTGCAATAGGTTCGCCACCACGGTGCTGGGCTTTTGTGGGTCAAGCCCACATTCTATGAGTGTAGCCTCTGCCATCCAGCCTCATCAGAATGTCCTTCGTCCAATGTTTGCAGTTATTTTGAAGGGTGGAATATTCCACAAAAACAGATATTCATTGCCCCCCTTAAAGTCATAAAAATATTAGGGGGGAGGAGGGAAATCCATAAATATCTCCTGTAGAAAGGTAGAAAAACCATCAAGTTTTACTTTAGCCAACTGCAACAGATTATATATACTTTGGTTACATCTGAAAAGATAAATATTTGTATCTCAAACACTGTACTGAAAAAGGCAGAATGTAAACATTTCTGAACCTTATGTCTATGTACCTCCCAGTTTAATGGCACTGACTTTCAAGTAATTGTGCATAATTTATTTTTCACTGAATATAGACTTGATTTGAACTAGAACTTGACTATTGTAAACATAATGAGTAATTTTGTGTAACACTTCCAAAATCAGAACAACAACTTTGGAAGAGGCAAGATTCCATCCTTCATTTATTAACTATTTCCTGTTTTTTTCATAACTGAGACTTATTACCCTCAGCTAAACAGATGGAGATCACACTGTATCTCAATTTCCATCAATCTGTGTCTAAAAAATACATTATTCATAGCATCTTATTAGCCAAGCTTTTAGGCTGAGGGAATCTTAAAAGAGTTCAAAGATAACAGTACTTTGGAGGATGCATTAAGTGGACAGTGACACCACCCAGTGGAAGCATTGAAAAGTTACAATAATTCTGAGATGTATGCAACAAAGATCATTTGTGTGTATTTACCAAAAAACCCTGGCCATGGATGCTTTTTGGCAACAGACAATCACATACTAGCCTAACATGTCGTGAAATCTGTACTGTTAATTTATAAACTAGATTCAAATATATAACATATTTATATTCTTTGGCATATCTCTTCCCCAAAACATAAATAAATCTGATAAGCAAGCCAATGAGCGAAATTGAGGCAACACTATCACCAGTAACACCTTGCTTGCCAAAATGAGCAGCCACTGTTCATCCAGCACAACTTATTTTTCATGTATAGCCAGCAGTATCTTTTACAACAGCCTTGAAAAACAGATTGTAAAACCACCACGTCCTCCAAATGATGTTTTTCAGGCTGAGGCAAATAGCCAAATCAAAATTTGGAAGCAATCTCATTGGTTGCAACACAGCTCCAGATCAAAAACGCCCCATCCTCTCCGATTAGAAAACCGGCTCCTATAGCAACATGTCTTTTTATAGTTTCATTGACATTTCAAAACCATTTTACTTCCAGGTATACAAGTCACTTCAAGAGCTGTTTTACCTTATTCATTTCAAGAGGCTCTTTTCTCCAGACTTTTCTTGAAGCAACAAACTGTGTTCAAAGATAGTGACCAACTCAAAATCACACAGTCAGCTGCCAGGGCAAGGGTGAACTAACAAACCTTGATCTCACCACACTTAGTCCAATACTACAATCACATAACACTTTTAAACATCTCTAATGTAGAATAGTGCTTGGATGCTGAAGAATGGAATTTCAGCTAAACAGGCTTTTGGCCAGTTGTGTTTTCCAATTTAATTGGGGAAAATGGTTGTTTGTTGTATTCCAAGAAATCTGCACACCATTTCAGAACAATTTTATATGCATACAATGAAGTGAAAAAGTGATAGGAAGATGTTTATAAAGTGACATCACAAGTGACATCCTATTTGGAACTTGGTTTTTTTAAAAAAATCAATCTGAGGTTTTATAAATATTTCTTGGTACTATCCAGAAGCAGGAGAGAGTGAGAGTGCATATTCAAGGAATTGTTTCAGACATCAAAATGTCTCACTCATTACTTCAGTTTGATAATAACTATAAGACAGTACAATAGTATTAACAACAGCATAAATTAAACACTGACTTAAAGCCAATGTTATCTTTATTGTTCATTAATGTATCATACATATTTTATTAGTTTTTAAAAATCATGAGAAGAGCCAGATTATCATTAAGCATCAGATTACATAAAGAGGTTGAACAACTGTATACAAGTGATAATTTTGTAATAAAGTACTGACTTTGACTTGCAAAGTCTTTTGCTCCGAGTACAGGTTTTGAGATTTGGGAACAATATTCCCATAAAATCCCAGCCACATAGTGGGGTGTGTTGCATCAATAGACAATGTAGATAATATCCACTTCCCTCTTAATAGTGCCCCAAAATCCTGCAGGCCAAGGAAAACAAATTGACAGTGATTCAGCTGACTTAACAGGTCTAAAGTAGTGGTCAGCCTCGTGAATTTTGGAATAGTTACCGTACTTAGATACTAAATCACCACATGATTTATAGCTACACATTTCAATGCTTACAAACACTTGCTAATTTTCAGACAGGCTAACTTTACTATGAGGGTGAAGGTTCGTTCTCTCAGCTTGTGGGCTGGTTTCCGAACGTTTTGTTACCAGGCTAGGTAACATCTTCAGTGGCGTTTAAGAGATGTCTGTATCAGTGCTCTTCTGTTTATGAGGGCTTCAGGTATGGGTATGTCAAGTGAGGGCACCTGAAGCCCTTATAAACAAAAGAACATGGACACTGACATCTCCTCAACTCCACTGAAGATGTTACCTAGCCTGGTAACGAAACGTTCGGAAACCAACCCACAAGCTCAGAGAACGAATCTCCACCCTCATCCTCCACCTGAGCTACAGATATTCACCACTATTGTTAACTTTACTATATATCTGGTTAGAACAGCAACTTTAAGCAGTTGTCAGGCAGGCATATTTGTCACATTTTGGCTTCTCAAGGCTGTAACAACCCATATTACTGCTGAAATATCTCTCATACATTGTCTTTAAATGTGTATAACAGCTTTCTGGTTTCACTGGGATGTATTTGCAGAAATAAAAACCCAATATGTCAACGGTATCTCAGAAGCTAGGGATGGATGTTAAGGCAAGTGGAAGCCTTTAAAAACAGGAGCACAAAACAAAAATTAAATGGATTTGAAAGGCTTGCCAAATTACAATAGGTTATTCTGGATTAGGTGGACAGAGTCCAACTACTACAGATAAAAGGCTGATTTCCAAGATTTTGACTGATGCCATCTGTTTTTGCCATTCAGAGACTACTACCACATAGATTAAGCTCCAACCATTACTAAAGTTCCCACGAAAGCCACAGGGTCAGAAAAACCCAAAGGTAGGAAGTACTGCACATTTTAATATACAACTATCACAATGGTGCCTGATTGGTCCCTTAAAGCAGCAAGACCAGGCCTTGTTCGCCAATACGTATTTCCCCAATAGTCTTTCCTCTTTAGCAAAGGCAAACCTATCCCAAGTTTACTACCGTGTTTTCCCAAAAATAAGACCTAGCTTGATTTTTACACGTGCTCCCAATATAAGCCCTACCCCCCCAAATAAGCCCTACTTAAGAGCCCGCCCACTCCATTGCACCTGGTTGCATGAGATGGGGCGAGGCGCACAGGTAAAAATCAAGCTAGGGCGGGGATGGGGAGTTGGAGCTGCCCCATGCACCTCATACCCACTTACCTTAGGACAGTTGCAGCCAGACCTACGACGTTCCAACACCTGCCTCGCTGACCCACTTCTTCTGTGATCGCTACCCACCGCTTGCACATGTTGTCCCCAGCTTCTGTTTTGCCATCAGAGGCTTTCCAGAAAGGCCTCTGCAGCCGAGAAACGAGCTCTGGATTGACATGTGCAGCACCCCCCCCGCCTCCCTTTCACCATCAGAGGTCTTTCTGGAAGGCCTCTGACGGCGAAATGGAGGCCGGGTGGCGACGCATGCAAGTGGCAGCGAGCGGCTGCAGAAGAAATGGGCTGGCGAGGCAGTGTTCTGTCCCCACAACAGGCAGGTGTCGGGGCGTGGGAAGCCTGGCTGTGGCGGTCCTAAAGTAAGCGGGTAAGATATCCCCTCCCCCCAAAAAATAAGACATGGTGCCTCTTTTGGAGGCCCCCCCCAAAAAAGAGACCGGGTCTTATTTTTGGGGAAACAAGGTAGGTCACTATGGCTGCACTTTGTCGCTAGCTCTTTGACATGGCCAGAGCATCACTAGAGCCACTCACCTGGGGAATTCTGTTTGCACACTTTCTACAGGGGCGGTGACGGGTACCGGCAGTTCTGCTGTTGTATCAGCGACTTGTGCTTCTACTGCTTCTTCTGCTCTCACGGGCTCTTCTGAATCGGCAGCCTTTCCACTTTCCGATCCAGAGTCCTGCTGCTCCGCTGCGGAGGTGACCTCAACCTCTTCAATTGCAGCAGGCACCTTTGTCCTCTCCCCTGCCGCCACCAGGTCCGCCTCTCTTTTCTTCAATTTCCCCTCAATTTCTTGCTGTCTTTTCTCATCATCTTGGCGGGCCAGATGTTCAAAGTTTTTGAACGCCTGAAAATGACGCAGCAATCAATGCAACAACCCAACAGTTAACCTACAGACCATCACCAGAGAAGAGCTAGCACTGCATTTCAATTTCAAATTTCAAACAGTACAGGCTTACGACCGCAACTGAGCCCAGAATTTATGTTGTTAAGTGAGAAGTTGGTTAAGTGAGTTTTGCCCCGTTTTACGACTTTTCTCGCCACATTTGTTAAGTGAATCACTGCGGTTCTTAAACTAGTAACGTGGTTGTTAAGTGAATCTGGTTTCCCCACTGACTTTGCTTCTCAGAAGGTCGCAAAAGGGGATCACATGACTGACACGGCAACTGTCATAAATGTGAGTCAGTTGTCAAGCCTCCAAATGTAAATCACGTGACCACGAGGACGTTGCAACAGTCGTAAGTGTGAAAAACGATCATAAGTCATTTTTTTTCAGTGCCATTGTAACTTCCAACAGTCACTAAATGAACTGTTGTAAGTCCAGGACTACCTTTATTGTTCAGCTCAGCTCCAAGAACAAGTACTTATCTACTTGCCTGATATCCATAAGCATTGAATCCAGTGCATTTTATAGGGAGTGTAAAAGGGGGGCAAGGTCCATTATGGATAAAGAAATTTGACAGTGTTCTTATTTGGATTTAAAGAAAAATGCAGAGTAAGAGGTTAATGAAGGTCTGCCACTGCACTGCAGGCATCAAACTAAATAAAAATAACAGCACTCCCCAAACACCATATTAGCTACCCTTTTACCTGTATTTGTTTTCATTCTTCACTCATAGCTGAAGAATCCCCTCCTACTCATAATTTGATACAGCTATTTCATAAACATATTTGGATCCAAACACCTATTGTATTCAGCATGAATCATGCTGACGATAGCCAGTTTTTGCTATATACGCTACCCCAAGCCATGGTCTGTCCTTCCTTAAGTCTTAACTGGCTCAATTTGCCCTATATTGCACAGTACAATCCATTTTCACCTACAATCTCAAATTTATACGAGTCTCAAATACAACACTCGGGGTGGCTAAGTACTAACAACAGATAAAAACGTATGCTTTATCCTGAATACTGAACAGAGTTGGAAGGGACCTTGGAGGTCTTCTAGTCCAGCCCCCTGCTGGAGCAGGAGACCCTGGCCTATACCATTTCAGACAGATGGCTGTCCAATCTCTTCTTAAAAGCCCCCCATGTTGGAGCAGCACCCACAAGTTCTGAATCTCGGGAAACAAAACACGAGCGTCTCCATACCGAGTGCCCAATACAAACCAACCCATCATGTCAGGTTTAATAACCTGCTTGAACCCTTAAGTCCCTCACCCCCCCCCCTCTCTCTCTCTCTCTTTCTCTCATTTTCTCCTTCTATTTTCTCTTTCTTTCTCTCTCATTTTCTCTTTCTCTCTCTCCCTTTCTCTTTTCTTTCTCTCTCATTTTCTCTTTCTCTCTCTATTTTCTTTCTTTCTCTCTCTCATTTTCTCTCTGTCCCTCTCTCTCTATTTTCTCTTTCTTTCTCTCTCTCATTTTCTCTTTCTCTCTCCCTCTCTCTCTATTTTCTTTCTTTCTCGTTTTCTCTTTCTCTCTCTCTCATTTTCTCTCTCTTTCTCTCTATTTTCTTTTTCTTTCTCTTTTTTCTCTCTCTCCTCTATTTTCTCTTTCTCTCGCTCTCATTTTCTTTCTCTCGCTCTCATTTTCTCTTTCTCTCTCCCTCTTTCTCTTTCTTTCTCTCTCGTTTTCTCTTTCTCTCTCTCCCTCTCTCTATTTTCTCTTTCTTTCTCATTTTCTTTCTCTCTCTCATTTTCTCTTTCTCTCTCTCATTTTCTTTCTCTCTTTCTCCCTCTCTCTCTCTCTCTCTCTCTTTCCCCCCACCCCCGGCAGGAGAGGCCAATTCGGGCGTCCAAAGGGGACCCAGCCTAAGGCTTACCCGAACGGCCATGCTCTTGGCCACGCCGGGCGGGAAGCCCAGCCGGTCGGAGGGCTGCAGCAACAGCCGGTAGAAGTCGGTCTTGCGGTAGAGGAAGCCGAAGAGGATGTTCAGGAACTCCTGCACGTTGCCCACATGCTGCAAGATCCCCAGCAACGCCTGGTCGTACATGTCCGTCATGGCCCCGGAGCGCTCCATGAGGCCGGCCGAGACGAAGCGCGCCCGGACGCGGACAGGCCTCACTCGCCTTTCCCCGCGAAAGAGGCGAGAGCCGCCCCGAACGAGCCCCGCCGCCGCCGCCGCCGCTTCGCCCGAGCGAACCCGCGGAGACTCTCCCGCTGTCACGGCAACCCCTAACCCTAAGGGCGACGCGGTCACGTGACCAGCACGCCCCCTTCCGGTCCTGTCCCCCGAATGGTTCCCCGAAGCAGCTTCCGGTTGAGCGGGCGCGCTGCGGTTCCCGCTAAAAAGTTTTCCGCCGCGCCTCTCTGCGGGTTGGGCGTTAGAAAGAAGCTCTGGTTAACACACAAAGACAAACACATACTCCCCAAAAAGGGGGTCTAGGGGGTCCTTCCCCCCCCTCCCCATGCGAATAAATAGTTAAAATAGTCGTTTCCAGGACGGGGTTGTTTGCAAGAGGGGTCCTCGGTGCTACTCTGTTTGCATCATTGGACAAAATGTAGACCAGGGGTAGTCAACCTTGGCTCTTTTATGACTCGTGGACTTCAACTCCCAGAATTCCTGAGCCAGCTAAGCTGGCTCAGGAATTCTGGGAGTTGAAGTCCACGAGTCATAAAAGAGCCAAGGTTGACTACCCCTGATGTAGACGGTCTTCCAAAATAGCCTTCAAAACCTTAACGCAATGCAACGTAGGGAAAGTAGGAGTTGAAACAGGTTGATGCCCTAACCTCCTAAAAAAATGGTAACTACTAGGCCAATAGAAAAGAATACTTGTAGCTCAGGTTTGAACTGTGGGGTCCTTGGCACTGATGATGTTAACCTAGTTAGGTCATGAAACTTCTGCAGGAAATGTCAATGGAGATTCTCAGTCATCCAGGTCATGGTTGTCCCAAAGGTGCTTTTTCAAGAAGCAACTGGACTTCCCTGTTTTTCTTTGAAGACGTTTCACTTGGTGGTTTTCTTGCAGGCGTTTCATTGTCAAAACTAGGTAACAACATCAATGCTGAGCGTTGATGATGTTACCTAGTTAGATAATGAAACGTCTGCAAGCTGGGGAGCACCAAGGAGCCCTCATTTCAATCCTGAACTACAAATATTCTCTTTTATTGGTTAGTTGCAAGAGTTTGTAAAGTCAAGGAATGGAAGAGCAAAGAGTGATTCAAAGGAGGGCTTGGCAGTGATAGGCATCCAAGTCAGGACAAGGGGTCTGAGTGTGTTGCTCGGACCTGCCGCCTTTTCTGAAGTTGTATCCTTTTCCAGGAGGGTGCAACCCCTGGAAAGAGTATCTTTCCCCAACTGAGAACCACACCCGCTGGTTTCTGCTTGGCATCCCAGCTGAAGGAAGCATGGAAGTGGGTGCAGACAACAGTCCTGCTTGGTTAAACAGTGTTTCTTGACCTGGGTGACTATGATGTGTGGACTTCAACTCCCAGCATGCTGGTGAGGGAATTCCTAAGTCCACATATCTTAATGTGTTGAAGCTACAAACACTATTCTATCAACTACTGTGTAGAGTTGGAGGGAAAGCATTTGTATGTATAACGCTAACATTTTCTTATCCTACAGTTTGATCCTTTTACTTCCTAGTATAATATACTTAAGGTTTCATTTTTCATCCAGACACCCATACAAAATAAAGATACCCATATTAATTATAAGAAAAATTCCACAGTCTGTTTTAGAATGACAACTTTATTAATCAAATCACCAAATCATATATAAGTTTTCAAGTTCTTTAGATCTCTCAATTAGACAGGATAAACTTGGGAAGTAATAAATTCTTCTGTTGGATAGAAACTGGTTGCTCATCTCTGGTGTACGTGCATCCTATATTAACAGATTTGGCACTGAGCAAGAAGGATTTACACTGGAGCTGGTTTCATGTGCAAATGGTAGGGTAGCATTAATTTTCCAAAATATATCCAATTGTGAGAAACATTGTTCCCACAAGTTTTCAATAGCTGTTGACCACTTTTCCATCTAGAAAGATGCACAAAGTTTGAATCATCATTTTTATACAAAAATATTGTTTGGTTTGGTTTTGGTCCATCAACCCCTTGAGGAAAACAAAACAGGGTACCACTTTTCTTTTGTATTTTAGCAAATATATCTTCAATTTTTTAACCTGATCTTAGAAAACTCAACTGCATTAATTTCACAAATTCAGTTTCACAAGGCAGACAGAAAAGTTCTTTGCAACTGTAAATAGCCTGTTTCTTCAGATAACAAGTAAAAACTGGTATATCAACTTGAAAACACATATTAAGCAAGACTTGAAGGAAGAGATTGTCTGAAAGGCTTGTCAAAAAAGCCCTTAAAGGGAAATCATTTTTGGAAGAAGAGTGTGTTAGAAGATGTGTTGGAGTATTATAGGTTCCACGAGTGACTGTCATATTGATAGGATACAGTTATTGGAGTTTAACATCTCAAAGTGCCTCTCCACTTTTCAAATTCAAGGATCCAATGGTCCATTTTGCTTCCTCTTCATATGATTCTTCATCACAACAGCGACTTTCTTATTATGTGTTCACATACGGTATGAAGACCATATGAAAAGCACCATTTTTTTTTAAGGAAAATCTACCATCAGTTTACATCCAAATAAGCAATAATCATACAGGGCTATCTTAAGATCCATTACACTCCACATGCCCATTGACAACTCTACTGCAGCTGGATGTCTCATTCATGGAACTTAAAGGTATTTCTATCCCAAAGTGATGATGGCTGCAGGGAGACACAGAACGGCTCACTTGTGGACTATACATGGTAGCTGTGATTTCTGCAGTAGAGAAAGAAAGATGTTCCCGTATTGTTGTCCACCTGGTGAGACACTTGCAGTTCCTATGAAAAGGAGAAGATATCAACTGATCACATTTATTTTGGAGGTTTTCCACAATACATAAATCAACTTCTAGAAAGAACGGTCCATGCACACCTTCTAGATGCATTGGATGCATAGGAAGGGATGACCTGGGAAGGAATTATTATGATAGTATCAAGGTTCTGACTGACGAACCCAACCAAGCAAACACTTTTGAGACTCCAATCTCTTATTGAGTACATCAGGGGTCCCCAACCTATGGGCCGTGGCCCGATCCCAGCAGGTCATGGAAATGGCTGGCTGGTGCACACACACACGTGGGTGTACATTCCCCCCCACTCGTGCTAGCTCCCGCGGCCCCAATTGTGCATGCATGCAGTCGCAAATGGAGGCTGCTAGCGTCGGGCAGGTGTGCGCAGCCCATTTGTGCATGTACAAATGGGGCCGCTAGTGCCGGTGGGTTGCACGGCCCGTTTGTAAATGCATGAATGTGGCCGCTAGCCATGGTGGGGGTTATGTGGCCATTTGCACATGCACATGGCGCCAACCCATGCCACATGCACGAACGGGACCGCTAGTGCCACCCCAGTGCGTGTGGCCTCATGTGTGTGCATGCACCAATTTTGAAGCTGCTCTCCTTCCCTCTGGGCTGCAAGCCTGGAAAGGTTGGAGACCTCTGGAGTACATCACTTCAGCATGAATGAAACCAGCTCTGGCTAAACCCTCCCAAACCTCATATAGTGAAAACATAGAATTCTCTCTCCTCCCCCTGGATCAGGTCACATTGTCCAATTAGGATATTGTTATGAGTAAATGTTTCTGGGTCTGGCCAGACACCTTGTGAACGTCCTTGGGTCACAAGGTCTTCTCTCTTAATCTTTGAAATCTGCATTCCAATCTCCCCCCCCCCCCGTTTGTTGACAAGCTGAGAAGCAATAATTGCTGCAGCAGCAAAAAGTCAGCCGTAACCCGTCATTACTGAAGGGAAGATTAGCCATTCTGTCATGACCTGGAGACCCTCTAGTGAGCTGCGCTCTCCCACCAGTATACCTCCAGTTCTTTGTCCCCACCTGGACTGGGCCATCTTCTCCTGGAAAAACTCAGTGCAGAAAATAACAAGAATGGGGCTGACACAACTGTGGGCGTAGCTGAGACAAATAGTAGCTTGGTACAAGTAGAAGAAGGTTGCCGAAGGAGTGGCTGTCAGATTAATCAGCTGCAGCACGTGGTAGGGTGTCCAGCAGATGAAGAAGGCCACGACGATGGTGAGTGCCATGCGAGTCACCTTCCGGTTGCGGGCGGACGCCTTCCGATGCACGCGGTGCATGGCACGGAATAGGTGGTGCAGAGTCAAGGAATACAACACTGTAATGACCAGCAAAGGCAGGAGGAATGCTACTAAAGATTGGTAGAGGGTATACCAGTATATGCTACGGGGACCTGGCAAATCTATAAGGCAGATCTCCGTCTTGTTGTCCCAAAAGATCCGGGTGTACAGCATAGCGGGAGTAGCCAGAATCAAGCTTCCAACCCATATGCCAACATTGATCATCGCCGTGCAACGCAAGGTCCGCCTCTGGCCAACGGTGGATGAGTAGACCACGGCTACGTATCTGGGGAAAGAGACATGAAGCCATTAAGAAAAGCCCATCTCCTATAGAAGAACATGACTAAATACATACTAAAAACATACAGATTGGATAAGAAAAGTCACCCTTTGGGATTACCTGCCTGCACACATACATTTTCCAGAGGGCAGTTAATGAGACTAACGTTGGCGATGGAAGACAGCATTAAGGGTTGAGAAAGTGGTCTAGAGTCCTACTTTGGTTCCAGAGTCAAGCCCTGACATTTTCAAGTAAAGCTGAGAAAATGCCTATATGTTGTTGTTGTTAGTTGCAAAGTCGTGTCTGACCCATCGCGACCCCATGGACAACGTTCCTCCAGGCCTTCCTGTCCTCTACCATCTTCTGGAGTCCATTGAGTCCAGGTTAACTAATTGTCTGCAAGACTGACTGAATCTCCCGATCTAAGACATACAGGCAGTCCTCAACTTACAACCGTTCATTTAGCAACTGCTCAAAGCTAAAAGAGCCCTCAAAACGTGACTTACAACCATATCCTTATGACCATTGCAGCCTCCTAGGGATCACGTGATCAAAAGTCAGGCCCCAGCCACTCCCATCTTCTTCCTCTTAGCCCCACCCATCCCATCTTCTTCCTCTTAGCCCTACCC